GTTTCCTGCCCCAAGTAAGAAATAGACAGCAGGTTTATGTAGAAGAAATTTATGCTGCCCTTGGTCTGTTTTTCCTCTGGATAAGTGGAGACATTCATTTTAGTTCAGTGCTGACAAGATGTGCTCTACTAACTCTAAATATGAAAGATTATGCTGTGTGATGAGCAGGATGTCTTGGTAAGTTGTAGTAATAATTGTCCTTAAATGTTAAGAAGTTTATAGAATTAAGTAAACTAACAAAGATGTTATTCTAATCTAATGTGGCTTTTATGGGGTCCCAATGTGGGGGGAATTGACCTTGAAATAAAGGGCTGATATACGCTAGTGCAAGATCGCACTTGTTACCTTAGATATATTCTTTAACCAGTATAAACTAGAATTTTTTCCATTTAAGAATGAAAGTGACAAAGGGGTTAAGTTTAGTTAGGTCTGTGGTAAATTTTTGATGCCATTACAGAATTTCTTAAATGAGTAATTTCTTCAACCTTTTCTCTGTGCCAAGGCTACTCAACTTTGGAAGCCCGGGGGGCCACAGTGATGCTCACAGGATTGCTGAGGGCCGCAATCATTTAAGTGTGGTTGTATATACATGCAAATATATATGCAAATAGCTTCTTTCACACTGCTGTGCATGAATCCAAAGATTAAGGCAAAACTACACAACACTTAAGTCGGCCCCATTTAAGTTGGTTCTGCTGATATTAATAAAATGCAATATTTACCTGATTTCCACCCTTGTGATAGCACTTTTAATGAGCAATGACAGTCCAGGAATTTAACTACTAAAACACATATCAACAGAAGACCATTATACTGACTTGTTGTTGTGGAGTATGTTCCCAGTGGAGGCCATGTTCAAAGGATTCCACCTGTTGAACCCCCCGTAAACCCAAACTTCATTGCAGGCTGCAAACAAACGGGCCGCATCTTTAGTAGCCCTGCTCTGTGTACTTGTTCAAAAGCCCTGTGAACTTTAGAAATGTAGCCCTCGCAGATCTATTCTCTGTGGCATCATCACACTGAATTAGAGAATAGTTCACAATCCTTTTTTGGGCTAGAATTGCAACTATTTGGTCATATGTTGGTTGTCTATCATAATTAGAGAAGGCACTTGCAGAAAAATAAGTTCAGACTGTCACTAATTTTCTTATTCTGAAGTGCTAAATTAAAATTAGAATAGAAAGGCATGGCTCAGTCCATAAAGGACTGCATTAGCCTGAAAAATAATTGTGGACCCTTCTAGGAGGTTTTTTTTTTTTGGCTACAACTCTCTCATTCTATAGATGAAATCTTGTTTGAGGAAAGTAATTCTGCTTCCTCTGCTACTCCACATTCTCAAACAAATCTTTATGTTCTTGTCAACACTTTTTTTCCCCAGCCCTTGCATCAGTTTATCTGTAGCTGGGTGAAAATAGCTTTTTTGAAACTAGTATCTCTTTCCTGCTTATTTATACAGTGATGTCTTAATCTCTTCTTTTCAACATCATTGTAGCTGCCATAGCAGGAGATGCAGACAGTATGTACTGTAACTACTTATTGCTTGAAGGAGAAGGAGATGGTGAAAGAATACAAAGATAATTGCTTTCTTTTCTGTTTTGCCCATGGTTTATTTAGCTCTTTTTCATTCCTTTCATGTGGAAAAATATACCAAATTAATCTTTTTATCATCACAAAATATCACATCACATTGTTCATAAACAATAAGAGTAAATTGGGTTGGAGGACATTCTTTTTGTTACTCCTCAAACAGCAGTTCTTCCATGTCTGCCATACTATTGCTTGCCAGGTAGAATAATTATGGATCACTTGGGTCAGCAGATTCCAACCGCCAGGCCGCAGCCTGCTGCCATACTGCAACAATGGGGGGCCAGGGCTGGGGTACATCACTCTTATCACAAGGAAGTGCTCTTCCATGGCCAGAGGAGAGCCTGCATGGCGTGGCCCTCCTGCTGCACAGGGAAGTGCTCTTTCATGTCCAGGAGGCGATCCTGCTGCTGGTTGGCTGATAGGCGGGGCAGGACATGCCTCTCCCAACAGCTGTGGCTGGAGGGGATGTGCTGGGCGGTGTGCCCCAGCCCCCAGAACTGCTGCCACACAG